TTAGGGTTTTAGGGTTTAGGCGTTTAGGGGTTTAGGGCCTAAGTTGTTTTCAAGAGCTTGAGACTTCAGGGTTTATGGTTTGGGGCTCAAAAATTCAGAGTTTAGGGCTTAGGATGTCGGGTCAGAGTCGCCGGGTTCGGGGTTCGGAGTTCGGATTTCGGCTTGAAGGGCTTGGAAATGGGTAGTTCTCTAAATTAGGATCCCTTCGAGGTTCCTTTTTATAGGGGTGCAGTACTACATTGGGGACCTAAAAAGGGACCCTAATTTTGAGAACTACCCAAATTGGGATTGAGAGTCGGAGCTGCTGGTTTTGGGTCTGGGCTTAGGAGTTGGGATTTAGGGTCTCGGGTCTGGGGCTCCACCTAGGACCCTAAACCCTTCAACCTGAATCTGAAAACTTTTGGATTAGGGGTTTAGGGTTTAGGGCTTCGGGCTTTGGGCTTCGGGTTTCTGGATTCAGGATTATATAGGGATTAGGGTTGAGGGATGTTGAGGGTTTAGGGTTTACAAGGTCTAATTCGTTTGGGCTTACAGGTGTGCATCGATGAAGGCCTCGGCTGCAGGAGTTCTGGCTTGCGGGCCTGATCCCCGTCTTTTCTCACGGCTTAGGGTTCAACCCTAATATGTGAGCCTTAATAATTAGAATTGGGTTTTGGGTCCCATTATGCTATAATTTATAGTAAGGAACCCCAAAATAGTGTAGATAATTATTTAGGCCCCCTCCACCCCGCGCTCTGCAGCCCATGCCGTAAGCTAGCGGGCCAGTTCTCCTTTGGCTTCTGCGGCTGCAAGGCCATGCCCGGCAAATTCTGCATGTTCTTAAAAGCCCGCTTGGCTCCTTTCTTGTTGCTAACACAGCCTCCATCAGGGGCTATCCACGCAACAAGCAAAGCTACATTGCTCTTACTCGCTATTCAAGGACGCCATCAGCACTTAGCCCGAACAAGATCCCAAAGCCCGGCCCCTGAACCCCAAACCCTAATTCCCAAACCCTGTGTCCTGCTCCGGTGGAGGGCTGCCCTGTCGCGCTTGCTTTGGGGCTTTGCCGAGTCCAGCGTTTCGGGCTGTTGGGGTTAGCAGGGTGGACCTTTGATTATGGGCTGGGGCTTGGAGTGACTGTGGCGATAGGAGTCCTGTGCTGGAAAGTTGTTTGAGGTCTTACGGAAGCCGCTGGTAACTACGTAGCGTCAGGGGTGACTGCTACGGTTTGCGGTGTGGGATAGGTGTGTACTGTCTATGTCTGTACATATATATATATATATGTGAAACATGTGTATATATATATATGTATATATATATATAAACACACCTATCCCTAAACCCTAAACCCTAAACTACACCCACAGATACACACTCGCACGCATGAGTAAAGCGCAACTTTCCGTTTCACGACCATTTCAGACAGACCATGGATTCGGATTGCACTGTAAAGTGTACCCGAGGAAGCTGCTACATTTACGAAACTGTCAAACCTCGTGGCATTTCTAAAGCCATCTCGAGTAGGGTTTGGGGTATACTATTGAGCATCGGTGCGTGTATGTAGGGCTGCTTTTAGTGTTGGTAAGTCTGAGACAGTCTGAGTCTGAGTCGGTATCCGGACTGTTGTAATGCAAACCCTGCCCCCAATGACCCCTAAACCCTAAACCCTCAAACCCTAAACCCTAAACCCCTAAAACCTAAGCCCCCAAGCCCTAAATTCCTATAGCCCTAAACCCTCACACCCGTAAGAATCCTGAACCGTAGGCCCTAAGTCGACCCTTGAAACCCCCAAATCTCGGAACACCCTAAAACCCGAAATCCTAAAACCCAGGCATCCCTCAAGCCCGAAATCCTAAAATCCTAGCCCTTCAACCCCTGAACCCCTCGACCACGGAATCTTGCACCCCCAAACCCCCAAAATATCCCTAAATCGTTGCTGATGAAACCACAAAAGAACCCTTACAGAAACCCTTCACACACACCTTCCGACTTCCACACTGAAAATCTAAAAACCCTTGAAAATCCTGCTTGAACCTTAGCTAAAGGACGCTAAGACAGAACCCTCATGGAAGCCAACAGCCGGGTGCCCCCACAGCGGCCGATCCCTTGGACCCGCCACGCGCGGAGTTTTTGGATCCCTGCCGTGGCTTTGGGTGTTTTGGGGCCTTTTGGGGATGTGCGGCTTTGGGTTTGGGGCCTAGGGTTGTTTGAGGGGTCTCGTGGTTTTGGGGTTTCGGGTTTTGGGGTTTCGGGCTTGTGGTTTCGGGCTTGGGGCTTCAAGTTTGGATTTCGGATATGGGTTGGGGGGTTCAGGGTTTAGGGTTATTGTGGCAATGTTAAACGGCGCTTTCCACCGGGTCATGAACCGCCGAACACGGCATCTTGACAGCTGTCTGTTGACTTTTACACCCATAGGTTGATGCACCCAACACCAGAATCAAAGGAACCTAACATCAGCACCATCATATGGGATATGCAGTGTAGATGATACTTAGTTCTTACTATGACATCCCCTAAACCCTAAACCCTCTCTTACAAGAACCCGGCAACTGCTATTCGGGAGCCTCGGTCCTCACGAAACTCTGGGCTTTAGGGCTTTACTGGC